AGGAGAGAGAGTTGAATTTCAACTTGGAGATGGAGCTTGTGATATAAGGTTGAAGTTAAAGCAAAGAGTGGGGTTGGGAGCCGTGTGGCTTCTATTAGACCCACTTTCCAGTTGGGCTTTTATTTTTTGTTTCCCCCTTTCTGGAGGTGGGGCGGGAGGTAGGAGGATCTGGGACTGGGCGCGCTCCCCTCCGCTGTCCTGGAGGGGGTGGTGCTTCTTGGCCGCTGGTTACTGCTGGTTCTGCAGCCAGGCAGTGGCAGAGAGTTTAAGTCTCTGATGGCTGTTCTCCTAGTCCCCAGGAGTTGAACCAGAGAGCGTTTTACTCTGCACCAGGTCGAGAACGTGATCAACCCTTTAGAGCAGGGACCTCCTTCTAATGGGGATCAGTCTGGAAAAGGCTGGGGAGGCTCTGCCTCCGAAGATAAGATGCCTGTTTAGAGCTGTGTGAGATGCCAACCAGAGGCTTGAAAAGAGGAAGAGGTGACTGGGGTTGCAAAATAACCCCACTATTGCTTACAGATATTCTAGCCAGTCAAATGTATGTGAGCAAAGAAGAAAGCATCAGGGTATAAAACTGTCACAGCAGCCTCGAAGACAGAGGATTCAGAATTTTGAGACTTTTTTTGCATGCTGTTTAGATTTGTCATCATGCAGTTAAGCAGGTAAGGACTGAAGGTCTATATTTTATTGACAACCATGTAACCTGCATTTGACCAATCCCGTGATAATCTTTTTTCTGCCTCAAGAGATGGGATACATGTATTTTCAGATGGTTCTCCTATGATGCATAACTTCTTGGTATCCATATTCGTGAGCCGTTTAAATCAATTTAAATGTTTAACTTGCATTCATTGAAATGTGTAACAATGCTACAAAAATCATAAACTGGGCAGAGGTCAAAGGAAGAAATGGGGAGGGTACAGAGTTGGAGGGAGGGATGCATTACCCTGATGAAGTATGTAAAATAGTAGTTGAAGAAATGCCTTGAAATTGTGCTTCTTGTTAAGGTCACAGACCTTAATATAAGGACAATTGGAGATTATTAAGGGCATCTTGAACTAGCAATTTAATTCTGACTATTTGAGAGAAATGTTTAATGGGTTATAGTCCTATTATTTTCTCACTTTCAAAAAAAAATTATTGGGGTGGGGGTTGGTTGGGCTTTCAAATAGGTTAAGAAAGGAGCTTGCCCTAAGGCAATGTTTCATATAACCCCAGTATAGAAATCTTTGGGCTTGGAAAACTAGTTGCAAACTGAAAAATAAGCAAATTTAGAAAATTATAGTTAATCTCTCATAAATAAAGCTTTTTTTTTAAATTTTAAGTTTTGTAGATGTATAATTTTAGCAGCTAATAGATTTCTTCTACTATTAGATTTAACAACAAAATACTTAATTAAAATGACAACACATGTTTTGAATGTGTGAAGTTTTGTTAGTATTGATAATGTTTTGTAATGTTTTGCTTACATGTTGAAGGAGTCTGGAGTCCCCACATAATGAAGCAAAAAATTAGTGAAACCCAATTCTAAAACTATCCTACTTAT